CGTGAGCGCGTGGTGAGGGCCGGGACGGGAGTGGGGTTTCGGTGTGGAAATTGCGTGCAGGGAAAGGGAGATGCGATTGTTTCAAAGCTCGTACACACAAGGCAACAGCACTCACCGTGACCTGCCTTAGTGGGATGCTCGCCGCCCATGCATCTGCGTTCGACTCAGTGATCCATGCACAGTATCTTATCACCTCGTTTCGTAAGTACCTGCACACCGGGAGACATAGATTCAATGCTATCGTAACCCCGAATTTTTGTACGTGACAATAGCAGACTGCCATTAAAAAGAGAGTACCTTCGCAACGGGGCGTCGACACCGGCATGCGTGCCGTACGAGTCAGCGTGCCAGAGCACGCAGTTCATGGGAATCGGATCGTCGGGCCTCGGGATGCGCTCGATCACGATCAGGCTCCAGTGACTCCTAAGGCACACATGAGGTCTAACATCAGTAACGCCGACGTTAGACTACCGAAATACATATGGTGCTACGGCTAGACGCGACGACTACTCACTCGGTATTTATCGGAACGAGTACATATGTGAAATCGAAAATACCCAGGCCGAGAGTATAGGCGTTTTCACACCGCGAAATGTCCTTCTTAGCATATTCCTAGAAATATGATCCACTGTAAAGCCATTTGTCCTCCGCCGTAGGGAAAGGGCATAGAAATCGGCTGAAAGGCCAGCTTACCATCTAAACACGGTAGAGCCATGGCTAGGACTTTGACGACCTCAAGATGCGTGTGGCACTAGGGATAATTTGGGGGACGAGCACCGAACTGGAATTTGGGCTTCTGCAGTCACGACACTATGAGTGAAGAGCAGCCGCGAAGGCTGTTACACTAGTCGTCAAATTTCACTAAAGGGTTTCGAGCCAGCCTGGTCCAAACAAGTTTCGCAATCACATGAGCGATCGAGATTCGCCAAAGCGCCCCCACTTGTCGGGGCTTTGGCAATGGTCAGTGTGGTTTAACCTGCTGACTAGGCAGATACAGCCCCCTTTAACGGCCTTTCGGCCAATCAAACACCTCGCTGACGAGGTGGAACTGTGCTGTTCGGGGCTAGCAATTCCACGCGTCAGGCTATCAGGTATGTGCCCTTCTACCCGCACTGTGAAAGGGGCATGTTTACTTCGGTTATGGCTGGCATAGGTCCTCTCCTCAGTGTTCACACGTTCACGCTCCCATGTTCTGGGCGTTCCCGTGGTTGTCCCGTATAATGTGATGAACAGTGCTGGAAATCTACGGTCAGTTAGCTAAGGCATAACGATCTTCGCTGCTTGGTTAGGGTTCCGCGCCACACGCCTGCCACAAATGTTGCGCGACGCAGCGTGATTGGTTGAAACACAGAGGGCTGTCAGAACCGATTTGTGGGGGAGTTGGCGGAAGTTTGGCAAACCAATCATCGGGCGTCAACCCTTGCAAACAAAAGATATTCTTGAGATTCTATGTGTGAAGAATGGTCTGGTAGCAATAAAAGAGCAGATATATCGGTAAACTAGTTCAGGCGTTCTAATCCACCACTTTTAGGTCACTGGTGATGAGACGCCTTTATGCACGCCTAGACAAGCTGAGTTGTGCACGACATTCAAACGCCTTTCCCGCCAAGCCATCAGATCCCGAACTCAATGATGGGCAATCTTAGAGCTCTAAGATGCTATGGGTTATATTTCAGGGGTGGCTATGCTGCCCAGTGTTATGTGCTACTGAGTAGTAACAATGAAAGGCCAGAAGTGTGGCTGTGGATACGTTGCCTTCTGTTATCAGACCCTTAGGAGCCACCAAGTAAATGGCGGGGAAGTCTGCAAGCTCAAGCAGAAACGTAAGCTGGTTCTCAAGCAGCCGATTCCGAAACACTCGAGGCTGGGCGGGGCTTCAAATCCTGGCGCCATTTTAAACCTTGCACCACTTCCTCGTCCGTATCCGCAGCTCCCACTGACAAGAAACGCGTACCGAGTTGTCACGCCATCAGAACCGAGCGAACAAGTGAGGCAGATCGCGGAGGCGCCTTGCGAAGGCACGGTTGTCGTGGAACCTGATGGTGAAGACGATTCGATAGACTTGAAGGCCGAAATTTGCATTTTATCACGGAAGCACGGCCTTACGAACGGGGCTATAACGGACCTTATAGACCTGTTCCGAATTCCAGACCTTGATATCGAACAGCTACAAGGCTGGACGACCTACAGAGACCTTGAGAAGTACGAGAGCAGCTTCGAGTTGGGACTGGAGCAGTCTTGGCGAGTTTTGGAGATTAAAGTGGATCATGAAGTGGGATTCCTCACCTTCAGATGTCGCGATATTAACGTGGTGCGTCCGTCGCAACATAATGTGCTCTTTGTATGTCTTACTACCTCCGTAATACGGCCCAAGCTGTTTCTGCTGCGCCCCTTACCAGTCTCAAGTCTTAGTCGACAACTCATATCTTCACTGCTTCCACTAGTACGCACCAATAAACAATGCCCATCCCTCTCTGCAGTTGGCGCAGGCAATGTTCAAGAAGATGTCCGCAATACGCGGATTCATCATCGAGCCGAAGGAGTGGAAGGTGGAGGGGGAAAGGCGCTACAGCACTCCCGGCAACACGGACTGGATGCTGAAGGCTTGGGTTAGTTAGCATCCAAAGCGCGATGTCCTTGGTCATGGAATCTCTGTCGCCCTAGCTCGTTGTTCGTCGCCCACCACGGTATTTTCCTCTCTTGTGAGGGGAGATGACCCGCATTTGTTCTCTGAATCCGCCCTTTTGCTCGCTGATCTCCCGCCGTTTGCTCGCTGATTTTGTCATTTTGCTCCCTAATCTCCGCCCTCTGCTGGCTGATCTTGTCTCTTTTCTTTATAATCCCCGCCCTTTGCTCGCTGATCTCCTGCCGTTTGGTGGCTGATTAAGACCCTTGTGCTCGCCAATCTCCCGCCCTTTGCTCACTGACTACGACCATATGCTCCACGAGCTCCATTATTTGCTATCAAATCTCCGCCCGTTTCTGTCCGATCTTCCGCCCTTTGCTCTCTCACTTCCCCCCTTTAGCTCCCCGATCACCCACACTTTGCTCATTTGCTCTCCCGCCCATTGCTATCTGCTCTCCCCTCTCTGGTGCTCTCCGATCACCCGCTCTTTACTCTCTGATCTCCCGCCCTTTCATCTCTCTTCTTAGCGTGAAGCTCCCTAATCTTCGCGTCTTGCAATCTTGAGCGCATGACTGTTGCAATATGTCACTAATCTCGTGAGTTCTTACCATCGCTTTCGCTCGCCAACCTTTTGATCGTTTTGTAACTCCAGACATTCACTTTGATTCCCGCCCCGTGCTCCCTTTCTTGTCCCCGTGCTCTATCCCCTTCGCCCTTGTTCACCTAACCATACTCTATGCTCTCACACATGACAGGACCGCGTTTGTGCCGTCAGTGCGATCGTCTTGGTGATCATTCTCTATTCGGATCAAACAAACTTGTCTCACAATGGCAGACAATCAGCACACCCGTTCGTCCTGTCATTCGGTAACACACCGGAATGGGCGCGTTGGTTGGAGGGCGGCACAGAGCTGGTGGGCCTCTTCCCTAACATTCCCTCCGACCTGAAGCCAGAGGAGAAGATTAGGGTGTTCCAGCTAGCGGCTGAATACATGCTACAACCGCTGAAACACCTCTCCAAGCTCCGCGGGTACGCTGCCCTTAATCTCATATGCTACAATCCTGCGCCCATGTCATAGTTTTGTGCATCATACGTGTGTGAAACCACCATGCCATGTATTGCGTGTGGGGTTAATTGGAGTGCATATTTGAATTGCTGCCCCTATCGGTTCGGTAACGAACAACCCCCAGAACCTCCGCATCCACCAACGGCACTACAAGTAGGAGTAGACTCACAAGTACCTCCAGTAGTAGCACCACAGGCTCAGCCACCGGGGCTGCTCCACCGGACCGCCCACTCGCGAAGCTGCTGCGACGAGAGCGTCTCCTGCCAATAAGTACGAGCACCAGCAACTCTAGCTCTAGCACGGCTAGCTCTGCCACCAGGGCTGCCCCACCAGATAGCCCACTCGCGAAGCTGCTACGGTGAGACTCCTGCACACTCCGCTGCCGCTGACGTAGGACAGTGGTAGTGGCCATAGAAGTCAGTGGCGGCCGCTGGAGAGCAGCTAGGGAAGCGCGAGAGTAACTGGGTGCTCTAGCGCGGGTCACTCTTGGGGCAGGGCTGGCGGTGTTTGTAGTGCATGGCAGTGTGCGGGCGGCTCAGGGCGGCGCTTGAAGGGCGCGTGCGGGGTGAACAATATAAGACCCTCCCACTTCCCCTATAGCGGGTTTCCATGTAGATTTGTAATCATCAATTTAAGCCGAAGCACGCTATGATGCGTAATTGGACTGTTGGGGGGTGAACGGTGTCAGGGTGAATCCGCTGCATCAGGGGGCGAATTTGTTGCGACAGGGGGGCGAATTTGCTGCGTCAGGGGGCGAATTCACTGCGTGAGGGGCGGATTTTGCTGTCAGAGGCGAATGCGTTTGTGATTGGTGAAGGGTTTCCGGCAACGTTGTGACTGGTCAAGGGTCATTCCAAGCGAACAACGATCCGCTGTCTTGTTGCTCACCAACCCCCAAGCTCAGTATCAAGAATTTTGTTCAGAACACTAAAATAAATCCATCATATGAAAACACCCGGGTAGTAAATAATTTTTTTCCCTTTGTTAAGACCCAACAAGGGGATTTGCCGACACACTAGGGTGTTACATCCGAGGGATTACGGTAACATGGAAATGCTTGTCGCCATGTACCCAACAGCGGAAACTCTACCACAATAGTGGAAACTCAGTGTCGTCATTTAAGGTGTAACCCAATTTCAGGTGCCTTATAGGCTTATACCGTAAGTTTAACATCTTTGGGTTTTAATCCCCCAGCGAAAGTGAAATGGCAGGGCCTCTATCCGGGGGACTAAGTGGTGGTCATGTGCTCTGAGGGGCTACAATCCTTTCTTGTCTGGGTGCAATGCGCGTGCGGGTGAGGTGACGGCTCAGTAACCCCAAGAGAACCTCAGTGACAGCCAGCTCTTGACACCATTGGAACCTGAGCTCAGCAATGAGCTCTCGCCCGCAGAAACTGTCGTGGTAGATGACTCCTCTCCGGTGATTCCACTCTCCCACTCTTCCTCCTTTTCAGGGCAGTGCTTGTCAATGAGGGCACGGAGGCGGTATGCCACGTCCTTCATGTCGGGGCGGCGTGTGCCGGGCGCCTTCATGCAGTCCAGTGCCAGGTCAGCAAAGTCCACCACAGCCTCCTCGCTGGCCTGCAGGTTGCTGTCCTTGAGCTCGTCCAACTCGTATGCATCCACCCTCTGCTGCGCCTGCACCACAGAGAACAGCCGGTGCAGCAAGAAGAGAAGGAGCAAGACAGTATGGTACAGAGCAAAAGGTGCAAGGTAGCATGGTAGGAGGAAAGGCGGTGCAAGGGGCAGTGCCACGATTAATTCTAGCATGGGCATACCCAGATCCTGATATGGCCTGCATGGTGAGAGTAGGGTGTCGTTCCACTCAGCAACTCCAGGAGCACAATGCCGAAGCTGCAAACCGGTGCACAGGGGGGTATGGAAACAACGACGATGACCAGCAACAGTCTGTTTGTGCGTTATCAATCTTTGCCCTGTCCATCCTGCGAGTGTCTATAATTTAGACATGTTAAAGGCATCAATGTTTCAGTATCTTGTGATTTTGCAGAGCGCAATAGGTGCGCACCTGAAGACATCGCTCTTGGCCGTGATGACGCCGGTGCGGTTGTAGTCAGGATCCACATAGCCGGGCGTGCCTGCCACCCTGGTGGCATGAGCATCGCCGTGAGTGAGCTGCTTGAGCAGCCCAAAATCGGCCACCTTGGCATGCATGTGAGCCGTCACGAGGATGTTGGCGGGCTTGATGTCGCGGTGGATGATGGGCGTCGCAAACCCATGCAGGTATGCCAGGCCCTCCGCTGCTCCTTGCGCCAGGCGCAGCCTCTGGCGCAGCGAGAGAGGGTCTGGAAGAGAGAGCACGAGAGGCAGGCACGAAGCATGATCGTGCATTAGCAACATTTGACACTCTCTGCTAAGGTACACATGGCTGGCAACTTGGTGACTTGGTGCAGGGGCAACTGACTGCTGGTCTTGTAGATGTGGTGGTGCAGGTCTCGGTTGGCCACGAACTCGTACACGAGGATCTGCTCCTGCTTGCCCGTCTCCACGTTCTGGTCCTGGCAGAAGCCCAGCAGGCGCACCAGATTCACGTGGTGCAGCGATGCCATGGCGCGCACCTGCATGCGGCGCAAAGCACAGTGGACACGGAAGGCAGAAGGCAATACGATGTTGCAGGGTTTAACAGTGCTTTGACTAAAGAAGAGGCAGCTCAGAATGAACCCCATTGCCGTAGTGCTGTGGCTGAACAGCAGGAGTTGAGCAATGGTGGAGAGGCAGCAAGGCAAAGGATGACCTCTGTCTCGAACTCGTTGGTCATGACAATGGAGCGCTTCACTGCCCACAGCTGCCCCTGCGGCGAGCACCCCTTGTACACGGTGCCAAACCCGCCCTTCCCCAGCATGTTCTCAGGCGCCCAGTTGTCCGTGGCCTTCACCAGCTGCTGCAGTGAGAACTGCTCGCACAGGTCCAGCCCCTCCCACTTCCCTGTGCCGCAACAGAGCACGGTGAGGTGGGGTGCATGGTGGGAGGCCATGCAGCAACGCGCATTTCAGGGAGGGTTTGACAGAGTGGGCAGAGCAGGGATGCATAGGAGGGTGAGCAGCAGTGCATGTATGGCGGCAAGGCAGGGGTGCGGGGCGACGGAAAAGAGGTGCAAGAATGGGAGGGATCACATGGGAGCATTGTTGGCGGTCTTACTCTGTCCACGGGGCCACAGTAGCCAGGCGAGCACAGCAGTGAGCAGAATGAACCCGGCAAAGCACCCCACAGCGATGCCCACGATGGCACCTGCTGACAGCGACGACACTGCCAAGGGGGGAGCAGGGAGGGTGGGGGAAAAGAGTCAGGAAGTGGAGGAGATGGAGTTGCAGGGTGGGGGGAAAAGAGTCAGGGAGGGTGGAGGGAAAAGAGTCAGTGAGGGTGGGGGTGGGGGGAAAAGATTCAGGGAGGGTGGAGGGAAAAGAGTCAGGGAGGGTGGGGGAAAGAGTCAGGGAGTGGATGGGGTATGGAAACGAAGGGCAGCAGGGGGGGTGATTTGATGTGAGCAGTGCTTTGGAATTCAACATAGGTGAGCACAGCACGGGCTCCAGCCTCCAGATGAGCTGTGCATGTGCGAGGGTGCCTCACTCGCAGCGGTATTGGAGCTGAGGATGGCACAGGTGGAGCCGTTGCCCAGGTCCATTGCAGAGTACCCGGCGTTGCACATGCATGTGAAGTTAGCCGGGGCGTCCGGTGCAGGCGGCACACACGCCCCATGGCCGTCACACGGGCCGTTGTCCGTGATGCTGCAGAACGCCTGGCAGGCTGCCGTGCTGCGCTGAGTGGCGTTGGACGGGCACTTGACATCCCCTTTGAGGGTCAGACAGTTGCCTGCCAGACTCCCCCTGGCGCCCTTGCCTGCCCCCGCCACCGAGTAGTCTCGCTGGCCAGCATCGCTGCACTTCCCTGTCACCCCCACGCTGCTGTCTCCCAGCTGCAGCTGGTTGCGCTGGGTGATCTCCTCGGGGCACACCTGGCAGCCCGCGGCAAAGAGCACGGCGTCGCCGTAGAAGAAGTTGTGTGCGAGGTTGATGAGGGCCTCGCTGTCCGCCACCATGCTGTTGAAGTTGCGGTTGATGCGCCCGTACAGGCTGTTGTTGCTCACATCGCTGCAGGGAGCAGGAAGAGGGGGGAGGGAGGGAGGGGGGGGGGGGGGGGGGGGGGGGGGGAGGGAGTGACAAAGGTTGGTCATTGGCCCTTTGATCCGTGAGCCAGATTGATGAGGGCTTCGCTGCACGCCACCATGCTGTTAAAGTCTCTCACATCGTTGCAGGGGGGTCAGATGACAGATGCGAGGAAACGACTGGCTTGCTAGAGCGAGCTGAGAGCTGAGAGCCCCACCTCTCGGCCACACTCTGCACCTGGCTCCACTGACAGCATGAGCAGCACTCTTTTGTAGTGGGAGTGGATAAAGCAACCAGGTGGGCTCACATCTGGTTGATGCACTTGTCGAAGAGGCAGTCTGGCAGAGGTCCGTAGAGATGGTTGTTGCTCACCATGCTGCCAGCACAACCCATGCCATGCCATGCCATGTCATGCCAAGCCATGCCAAGCAAGTGCCACAACCACAAGTCACACCATATGGAGCCTCATATAACAAAAGAAAGACAAGACCGAGAAGACAGGATAAGCTAAGCTAAGCAGGATAAATTAGAATGTTGGATAAGTAGTCACACGATAAGCTGTGGCGCAGACTTGCGCATGTGCACAGTGCTTGCTTGGGCACGTCATAATGTCGGGTGTGACAAACAACTCAAACCAGCATGTGCGTGTTTGCGGCTAACTGTCTATTTCCTTGTGTTGAAGTCTTGTTTGGTGCATGTGTCGCGTCACATCCATGCGAACAGGTCAATCTGAAATGGCACTGCTTGCAAAGCTCTCGCTCATGTCAAAAGTACCAAGCCTTTCCTATCTTGAGCTTCTCCTCTTCCATCACAATTGCTGCTCGCAGCAGCTGCTCCTGGTGGGGTTCAGGCTTGCACTTGGCCACACCACAATTCCAGCACACTCTCCCCACCCTCCCCACCCTCCCCACCCTCCCCACCCTCCGCACCCCCCGCACCCTCCCCACCGATCTTGTGTAACACTAACAGCCTGCATCCATCTAAATGCTATGTTCCTCTAGCATATGCCAGCCACTCACATGCGCCACAGCCACTCACATGCGCCACAGCCAGGGCAGCGAGCAGATGGCGGATGGCAGAGGGCCCTCGATGCTGTTGTTGTCCAGCCAGCTGCGGGGGGGCAGGCAGGGGGCAGAAGCAGGGGTAGAAGCAGGGGCAGAAGCAGCGGCAGAAGCAGTGGCAGAAGCGGGGCCAGAATCAGGGGCAAAAGTAGGGGCAGAAGCAGGGCACAAGCAGGGGCAGAAGTAGGGCAGGAAGCAGGGGCATGAGGGCAGCAGAGTGCAGTGGGTCACGGGTACATATGAGAAGGAAAATCAAGATGACAAGTGAACCACTCAACACGATATAGAAGGTGGGGAGCAGGGAGTAAGGAAGAGGAGCAGGGAGAAGTGAGCAACGGGGTAGTGGTGGGGGCAGCAGGGTTGAAGAAGAGACACTACACCGAGGGAACGCCAAGCTCTTACCTCCATGCCCCACTTCGCTGCCATCCCCTTGCCTCCCCTGCTGCACAAGACACTCCTCCTCACCGCTTGAGAGTGAAGACAGGGAGGGCAGGCAGGAAGGGCAGGCAGGGAGAGAGCTCACATCTGTTGGAGCTTCTCCAGGCGACTGATGGCAGACGGCAGACTGCCACTCAGACGGTTGTTGGCCAGGTAACTGTAGAGCATGGAGGGGAGCATGGAGGGGAGCATGGAGGGGTGCATGGAGGGCAACAACGGCTATGAGCAAGAGCAGCATATCGGAGAGCAGCGCAGATTGACACAGGAATAAACGTAGTCACAGGAGGGTAAGTGAGGTGCAAAGCTTTGTCTTAGAACCCCAAACTTAACTCTACATGGGAAGTTACGACTCACAGGGATTGTAGGTTCGTCATGTTGAATATGGCAGCTGGAATGGTCCCGGTCAGTAGGTTGTTGTCAAGTATGCTGCAGAGGCATGGCAAGGGCAGATTGCTGCAGGAATGACAAGGGCAGATTGCAGCAGGAATGACAAGGGCAGATTGCTGCAGGAATGACAAGGGCAGATTGCTGCAGGCATGGCAAGCACAGAGCGCATGAGGCACCTGCTGCTGCTAGGTGCTAGCCTAGCCTGGCCCTGCCAGCTTTCTCCCTGAAATAGTCTAGGTGAGAAGATGACACTCCGCAGATGCAGGAGACAACATGGTGAGGGGCACGTGGTGAGGGGAACGTGGTGAGAGGCACGTGGTGAGAGGCACGTGGTGAGAGGCACGTGGTGAGAGGCATGTGGTGAGAGGCACGTGGTGAGAGGCACGTGGTGAGAGGCACGTGGTGAGAGGCACGTGGTGAGAGGCACGTGGTGAGAGGCACGTGGTGAGAGGCACGTGGTGAGAGGCACGTGGTGAGAGGCACGTGGTGAGAGGCACGTGGTGAGAGGCACGTGGTGAGAGGCACGTGGTGAGAAGCACGTGGTGAGAGGCACGTGGTGAGAGGCACGTGGTGAGAGGCACGTGGTGAGAGGCACGTGGTGAGAGGCACGTGGTGAGAGGCACGTGGTGAGAGGCACGTGGTGAGAGGCACGTGGTGAGAGGCACGTGGTGAGAGGCACGTGGTGAGAGGCACGTGGTGAGAGGCACGTGGTGAGAGGCACGTGGTGAGAGGCACGTGATGAGAGGCACGTGGTGAGAGGCACGTGGTGAGAGGCACGTGGTGAGAGGCACGTGGTGAGAGGCACGTGGTGAGAGGCACGTGGTGAGAGGCATGTGCCATGTGGTGAGGGGCATGGCATGTGGTGAGGGCACAACAGCAGTCGAGGCTCACATGGCCTGCAGAGTGGAGAGCGTGGAGATGGAGTCAGGAATGGGCCCTGTGAAGTTGTTGTGGCTCAGCTCCCTGCACGAGCAACAGCATGCAATCACGGGGCATGGCTCCCACAAGCTCAATAGACTTGAAAGAGTCAAGACACATGCCAGGGATTACAGAGATGCACCGGGGAGGAAAGCAGATATGTCAAGTGAAACTGAGAGGGGATTGAGACAGGAAGAAGAAAGGGTGGCAGGAGGAAGAAGGGTTGGAGGGGGAGAGAGGGAGAGGAAGAAGCTTACAACTTTTTAAAGCTGCCCTTCCACAGCGAGAAGTCTGGCAAGGAGCCCGTGAAGCCGTTTCCTGCAAGGCTACTGCACACGGTGCAACGAAAGGTAGGCAAATCCCAATCCACAGACGATGAGCACGAAGAGCACAACAACGGTGGAAGCACAGCGAGTGGAGTTTCATAGGGTTTTCACAGCGAGTGGGGTTTTCACAGCGAGTGGGGTTTTCACAGCAAGAGGGGTTTTTACGGCGAGTGGGGTTTTCACGGCGAATGGGGTTTTCACAACGAGTGGGATTTTCACAGCGAGTGGGGTTTTCATAACGAGTGGGATTTTCACAGCGAGTGGGGTTTTCACAGCGAGTGGGGTTTTCACAGCGAGTGGGGTTTTCACAGCGAGTGGGGTTTTCACAGCGAGTGGGGTTTTCACAGCGAGTGGGGTTTTCACAGCGAGTGGGGTTTTCACAGCGAGTGGGGTTTTTACAGCGAGTGGGGTTTTCACATCGAGTGGGGTTTTCACAGTGAGTGGGGTTTTCACAGCGAGTGGGGTTTTCACAGCGAGTGGGGTTTTCACAGCGAGTGGGGCTTTCACAGCGAGTGGGGCTTTCACAGCGAGTGGGGTTTTCACAGCGAGTGGGGTTTTCACAGCGAGTGGGGTTTTCACAGCGAGTGGGGTTTTCACAGTGAGTGGGGACAGCAAGGCGAGTGGTGGCAGCACAGCGAGTGGTGGCAGCACAGCGAGTGGTGGCAGCACAGCGAGTGGTGGCAACACAGCGAGTGGTGGCAGCACAGCGAGTGGTGGCAGCACAGCGAGTGGTGGCGCTGCTTACAGCGTGGCAAGTGTGGAGGACGCTCTAAGCGTCACTGGAAGGTTCCCAAAAAAAAAGTTGTTTGCCACTTGCCTGCATTGAGAAGGATTGGAGACAGGGGGAAGTGGTGGTTGCATGCATGCATTATGAGCCACTGCTGGACTGGAAGCTGAGAAAAGGAATGAAAGGTGAAGCATGGTCAGATGCTTAGTTGGTATTGTACGTTTACGGTGGTTTACGTTTACGTGACTTTACGTAGTAAACTTACGTTAACTTACGTGGGCTAAAAATGGCTTTACGTTTACGGTCAGCTAGAAACAGTTCTAACTGCCCGGAAATATAAGAAATCATCGGACTAAGTGGCTGCATGGGAAGCGCCTAATCTATCACTAGCTTGGTTCTTCTACGCCCAAGCATGTTAGCACATTATTACATCAACTTACAGATGCCCCAAATCTACACAAACATGTAGCAGCCTCTCCCACCTCATATCAGTCAGATTTTTTCGTTTCGCGGGCAAAAAAACTTTTTTTTGCCCTGCCCGTGCGACTTTACGTAAAATTACGCGTAAGAAAACGTAAAGGTAAACTCAAGTGTAAGTTTACGTTTACGTGACCCAAAAAAACGTTAAGTACCAACTAAGGTCAGATGAAAGGAGGTCTCACAGGAATCAAGAAGCAGTCATACAAGTTTAACCTCTGCATGCTATTTAGGTGGTGTCTGGATCAGGTTTAAATACTTGGCAGCAGGAGAAATATTTCGAATCAACAACGTGTTCACAATCTCAGTTAAGGTAATGAGTTAATCTATGACCCTCACACTAGCGTGTTTGGTATTGCAATCTGTAGTATAGCAGGTGCACGCAATGGTGCCATGGAGCTACTCACAGTGAGTCAAGCATGGGGAGGTGGAAGAGGCCAGATGGGATCGATCCATGGAATTTGTTGTCATTGAGATTGCTGGACAAAGTGAACTAGTTGGGCCCATTAGAGAGCTCCAAGAACAGCACCACTGGATTGAATACACAAAATAAATCTTATCAAAGCATAACCAAACAAGCGCTGATACAGTCTGGGGGCAAACGAGAAGCAGGCCTGGATATGGGATTGGTTGACGAAAGAGCATGGAACCATGTTGTCAAGACTCGAGTGGCGTACGCTTCATGAAGTAAGAGCATTTGTACAGGAAAAGTGGAATCCTTGGAGCACCACGCACATGTCTATGAGCTCCAGTAGCTCGGTCAATTGCAGGGGGATGGATCCAGAGAAGCTGTTGTTGCTCAAATCCCTGCCATTGCCATTGCAATTGCTATTGCCATTGCCATCACTATATGAGAGGTTGCGACAGCCGCCTACAGTAATGGCACCGCAAGAGAAGGTTTGCGTAGCAGATTTGTGAAGTATAGAAATGATTATAGATGTTAATTCCACTGCAAGCCACATTCGTCCACAATCTTAAGAGCAGGACTCACAGTACAGCAAGGTGGGGGTGGGTGTGCAAAAGAGGCTGGGGAAATTCTCCCGTGAAGTAGTTGTTAGCGATGCTTCTGAGGCACGCCCATGGCACATGTGTTGGGAAGAGGACGAGATGGATGTGAATACGCACATGCGCACACACACATTCATTTGGTTGGGCATGGGCGAAACACGTGTTTACGTTTTTCAAATGCATGCCACAAACTCATGAGGCCCACAACAAGTATGTACATAGGCGAGAAGGAGTTTTTGCTGCATGGAGGAGGTGAGTGAGGTGTGGGTGGAGCAGACTGACATGGAAGTGAGCCCTGTGATGGCAGATAGGGCTGCTGGAAGCACCCCGGAGAAGTTGTTGGTGTGGAGAACTCTGCAGGGCAGACATTTCAGAGAGAAGCTCAGGTGTTGCCACTTGCAGGGAGCAGACGATGTGAGGGAGGGAGGCCGAGAAAGGAGAGAAGGGGAGGCCAGCAAGGATAGAAGGGGAAGCTGAGCAAGGAGGTGGCAACGATGAGGAAGGTGGGGCAGGGAGGAGGCTACGCGCTGACATGTCAATGAGCCATGTCATCTGCGCCACCACGTGCAGGCCTCCGCTCAGACTGTTGTTGAACGCGTCCCTTGGATGCAGGCACGTGGGACGCATGCATGCAGGCGAGGAGCAAAATTAAGGCTTGGCAAGAACCTTCACTGGTAAAGGAACAGCAATGAGCTATCAATCCCATGGCGGTGAGGCGTACAGCACATTCATGGCAGTGAGGCGGGTGAAGGTGCCGGGAATGCCGCCTGTGAACTCATTGCTGGACAGCTGCCTGCAGACACAGGTGGGCCGCCCAGCAGGGCACGCAGAGAGAGTTGCGGCATGGAGAGAGGGAGAGAGGCGGATGGAACCAGGCAGGTAAATGAGGGCAGAGAGCAAAGGGGCAATTTTATGGGATGCAGGTAATGAGTGCAAGAAAGCAGGGCAGAGAGGGGTGGGGCTTACAAGGCAGAGAGTTGGGGCAGTGCCAGGTGAGGCGGGATGGGGCCACTGAAGGCGTTGTAGCCAAGTGCTCTGCATAGGAAGGGGAGGTGAATCCTCTAAATGATCAATATCGTATCGTGTTCCAAGGCCCGGGAGCTGGAGACTGGCTCCTGGCAATACCGTTCATGTGCTTCAGGCCCGAGTTCACCACTGCCCTGGCATTCCGGATAGGGCTCCCTATTGACTTCCCAGGAAACTGCACCTGCAAGAAGAAAGGAACTTATTGTGGCAACACCCTTCCAAATCACCTCTTACGCTGCGGCGTCGAAGCGGACAGGAGCACCACCACACCACGCACAACAACCTTGTCAACATGGCGGCCCCAGTCGCCCGAGAAGCAAAGAGACAAAGATGTACGCTGCCCTGCCCGCAACAACTCACCTCGAGCGGACGTCAACATTGGCTGCCCGATGACAGGGACCCTCGGGCAGAAAAACCTACCGGATGGGCGTCAGAGGAGGCAGCTCAATGGAAAGAGACACGTTATGCTAACAGGTCGACACAACCCGGCCATGCAGAATGCTCACGCCACAGTGGCTGTCACCGACCACAAGCAACTGCGACCCACTACTAGCAAGGAAAGGGAGGGGATGGGCTGCCAGAGAAGTGCCGCTACGAAGACCGACCAGTACCACAACAAAGCTGAGCATGTCAGCTTATTCTCCCTGGTGGTCGAGACCTATCAAGGGTGACCTTACGGGGAGCTTCTACGTGCTCCTCAAGTTACTGGCAGACATGGCAGCGAGACGCCTTTCCAGCGCTGAACTGTGGCGCGGTCAGTTACTACCTCACTATATCCAACTTCGTGTCGCAGGTCGAGAATCAACCAGTCGGTGGACGAAATGAGGCTTTGAGCCCAAGGGTTTACAGAGGAAGAAGAGCATACAGGAGATTGTTGGTGTGGTAGTGGAGCTTGAAGTAAAGAGGTGCAAGACGTACATGCTCTGGATGTTGGTGGTGAAGGCACGGGGGATGGAACCAGACAGATAATTGTGCGTGAGGTCTCTGCAGTGGAAGGGGGCAGAAAGAGCAGCGCTGCAGTTCATGACCACGGGGGCGAGACACGGGTGAGGTGAGCAACGAAATGGTGAGAACGAGTGCCGAGAGGAGCGAAGCGGCATGCACATTGGGAACTTACATTGCAGTGAGGGCTGTTAGGGCAGAGAGGGTGGCGGGGATGGTGCCTTGAAGATGGTTGTAATTCAAAGCCCTGAAACAAGATAAAGGCGGAGCTCCAGATTACAAATGCAGGCTAGTGCTGGGGCTGACATGATAGGCATTCACTCTGTGACAGATTAACAAATTGGTAACAGCACCACAGAAGGATGATCACAATGGATGGAAACGTGGCTGGATGACAGCATGAGGGCGTGGCAGCGTGACAGCATGGGGCCATGGCAGCATGATAGCGTCGGGGCATGGCAGGATGAGAGCATGAAAGCATGGCAGCACGGCACAGCAGGCAGTAGCTCACAGGTGCTGCAGGTTGAGGAGAGAGGAGAAGCTTTTAGGCACGTAGCCCTCCAGGTTGTTTCCGGAGAGAAATCTGCAGTGCGTGCCACCAGGCATGAGATGCAGAGCACGAGGATTATACAAGAGGGAGGGACTTCGTGCAGGAGTTTCTGTCCAGCGCAGCACACCCACCCCTGCCTGGTGGCCTCTTTGACCAGCAGGTAGCAGCTGCAGCAATGGGCCTAGCTCGCACTCACACACGAACTGCTTGGCCCTTTGGTTCATGACTTGAGACCGAAGGTTGTGAAACTCGCGTGCTGCACTCACAGGCTGGTGAGCGCTGTGAGGTGCGAGATGTCATCCGACAACAACCCCTGCCGCCTCGGCTCATCCCCGATCACGTTTCTGCATGCAAGGGTAAAGGGACAAAGGCAGTGGGACAAGGGCAGAGGGACAAGGGCAGGGGGACAAGGGCAGGGGGACAAGGGCAGGGGGACAAGGGCAGAGGGACAAGGGCAGAGGAGAAAGGGCAGGGGGGCAAGGGCAGGGGGGCAAGGGCAGGGGGACAAGGGCAGAAGGGCAAGGGCAGGGGGGCAAGGGCAGGGGGGCAAGGGCAGGAGGACAAGGGCAGGGGGACAAGGGCAGGGGGGCAAGGGCAGGGGGGCAAGGGCAGGGGGACAAGGGTAGGGGGACAAGGGCAGGGGGGCAAGGGCAGGGGGACAAGGGTAGGGGGACAAGGGCAGGGGGGCAAGGGCAGGGCGACAAGGGCAGGAAGACAAGGGTAAGGGGGACAAGGGCAGGGGGGCAAGGGCAGGGCGACAAGGGCAGGAATACAAGGGTAAGGGGGACAAGGGCACATTCGCGAGACTTTTCAGAATGAGACAAGGCGAGACTCCAGCCGTGGTTCCAGTGCGACGTGTGTGCAGCAGTAAGGGCGGTAGGTGTGTGGCAATGGCAATGGCTCACAGATACTGAAGGTTGTAGAGGTGAGTCACCCAGGAAGGGAATTCCAAGGAACGAAGGTACGACAAATCACTGCAAGGAAGAATTCAAGGGGACGGTACAAGGATAAGGGCATAGCAGAGGGCTTGTCTCGCGCGAGGTGAGCAGTCAGTGAAAATGTGCTCATGCACGTAAAAATAGGGATGAGCAAAGAGCGAACACGAACATGTTCGTGTTCGCCCCTTGTCGAACACCCTCTTTTGCCGAACCGAACACTGTTCGGTTCGGCGAATAGTTTAGGCAAAAACAGGTGTTCGCTGTTCGCCTGTGGAGGCGTGTTCGGGCGAACCTCGAACACGTTCGTGTTCGCCACGGGGCGTTCTGCAGCAGCGCCACGAACACGAACGTGTTCGGGCGAACATCGAACACGTTCGGGCGAACGATTTAAGCTGAAAAACAAAACCTGTTCGGTTCGCCTCGAACGGTGTTCGCCACCTTGCTCATCCCTACGTAAAAAATATGATTTTGGACCCATGTGCAGCTCACAGAGCAGTGAGGGCCGTGAGGTATCTGATCTCCCTGGGTATCTCCCCCGTGGTATTGGTGAGTGAGCTGAGTGTCCTGCGCACATGCACATGCACAGAAGAGAGACAGCAGTACCAGGGCACAATGAGAGGCGACCGGAGAGTCAGTTGTTACACTGACCAAGTTGAAGCATCAAGGCACCGGCTGCCAGCACATTGGAATCAAGCTTACAGGCTTTGAAGATTCTCCAGACGAGAGAGAACGTGCAGAGAGGACAAGCTTCCTGTGAATTCCGCCAAGCCAAGTATACTCCTGGTGGGTGGTGGTGGGAGGGTTGTGGGACGTGCGGGAAGCCATGGGGCGGGTGGAGGGTGGGGACACGACACGGCTTGCGCACAAGTTGCTGGATCGATGTGGCGCGGCATACAGCAATGAGGGCAGCATGGCTTGCATGCCTAGTGGCACAGTTATCAAGGCGTGTGAAGTGTGAGCAGGACGTCGCAGTGTGTAGGGCGTACAGAGTTTGCAGGTTGGAGAGGGAGGAGAGCCAGGCCAGTCCCTCCAAGGTGCCAGTCAACTGGCTGCCTTCTACGCCCATGGCGCTGCGGACATGCCAGACGTGCAGTCAGCCATACCACACATGCAGCCGGCCATGCCACACGTGCAGAGAAGCGGCAGAATGAAACATCAACTCCTTGAGCACCGAGCAAAAAAGGCCAAAAAGAATCGTTGGATGCAAAGGAGAGAAGCAGCGCAGTGCACTGAATGGGCCACGGTGGAGGCGGGGCACGTACAGGAGGGTGAGCCTGCTTAGACTTGCGAGGGATGGGATGGGCCCCACCAGCTGATTGTTAGTGAGATCCCTGTGGACATGGGGAGGCAGGAAGCAAGAGCGAAGGCAGGAGGGAGGCGGACTGAGGCGTGCAATGTGCTGCATCGGTGCAGAGTTGACGCATTCGAGAGTGGGAGCAGTCGGGTGTGGCTTATCAAGCGAGTGGGGGGCGAGATGGGGGGGCTTTGCATAGAAATGGCCGCTTTGAAGCTTCCTGGTGAGGACGAGCAAGCACGGCTGCTGAGGGCAAAAACAGGGGGGACTGTGCAGCGGAAAGGAGGAGCACGGCAAAAGATTGATGGCATGGTTCATGCAATGATGCGAGTGATGGAGTGGCGGGGAAGGTGGGTGGGGAGGGGACGGACAGGTACTGCAGAGCAGCGAGGTTGGTGATGGAGGCAGGTATGGCGGCGCTGCCATCCACCGCCACGGCCTTTGAATCCCTGCCACCCACCACACGCACGCAACCATGCCATGCTCCCATCCCTCCCCACCCCTTCACACCATCCCCCTATCCATCTCTTCCCACAGCGCCCACCTCCACCACTTTTCCCTATTCTCACCCCCACCACTCACCCACCACCCACAGAAGCCAAACCCATTCAGAACAAACGCAGGATTTGCAATGCAATGAGTGCATGGGCGCGTCCTGTTCCACGCGATAACATGGTCGTCACGTGGAGGAAAGCATGGTGGGGATGGTGGGAGCAATCGGGGGCAGTGGGGGGCAATGGCGGCACTCACAATGCGATGACCAGTCCGTTAGGGCTGCATGTCACGCCCGGCCACGCAGAGCACGCAGTGGTGCCGTTGCTGTTGCCCTCCCACGCGCCCCACGCCGCTTTGCACCTGCAAGACCGCCCTCACTGCGCACGTGCAGCGAGCGCCGCCAGCAATGGGATAGATCATAGAAATGGAGGACCAGACTCATGAATGGGCGTCTGCGCGTGCGGCAGACCAGCGTGGACCTGCAAGCCGATTGCTTGGTTCGTTCAAAGAGGACTCCTCTATGGATGTATGGGCAGAGCTCGAGGGCAAGCTCACGTTGCGTTGCCTCCAAAGCCACGGGCCTTGGGGCAGCGCCGCCGCCAGTGTGTTCGGAATTGGCCGCCGCGGCGGTGGCGGCGTGCTTGAGGAGCGAGCGCTGGGCGCGGATCGGCCGAGCAAGGGGAGGCACGCGGCGCTTCGGGGCTTGTTGCCGCGGAAGTGGGTGGTTGGCGGAAGAGAAGGAGCAATCTGCGGCGGTGGCAAGCGCGACGGCCGCACAAAGGAGAAGCCGAGCTGCTGCATTGGCACGCATTGACCTCGGAGGCGCAACGCGGCGCATGGCGTGTTGGAGATGGTTCCGCGAACCACACAAAACGGCTACGGAAATTCGGACCTATGGCGACTTTATGGCGGTGACGTGTTGAAGAAGCAAAACGAAATACCTAAGAAGCTCTAAGTTGCTTGGCGTAGGGCCCCGAAGAGTTACTTCGAAACAAGTTAGTTTGGCGAAGTAACTTCTGCGGGGCATTTGGTTGTGGTGCTGCTCCGAAACCGAACCGAAACGGGGGATGCAGGTTCGAATTTGGTCTGGGCGCAGTGGTTTTGGCTTGCCAGCAATCTGGTTGCTGAAGAATTGTCGCGCGCGTCGCTTTTTGCACTGAAACCTCTTTTCTCTGACAACTCGGGTGGCAGTATCTGGCGCGACACTGTTGGGAACTCCCTTCTGGCTCCATACTCAATGTTCGGATATGTGGAGTTGAAATTTGACAAAGTGTTACGAGTGCAATTGAGTGAACGAACGAGAATTGCACTATGTAAGCAAGAGTACAAATGAGCGAAGGCATGAGCGAAGAATATATAGCGAAACTACAGTGGTAACGGTAATGGTCGCGCGACGAGCCTGGGACTGAGGTTGGGAAAGTGTCGAAGCGTAGGCCCGGAGCGCGGGTTACCAGCCGAGCCGTGAGGTCGGGATGCGATGTGCGAAAAGGGCGGGATGATGAAATGATGCGATGGTCGCGAGTGGTAACGGTGCCGACTGAGGTGCTACAGTGATGTACGCGTTGAACAGGGATGCGAAGTAAGGAAAAGGAATTTTCCTTACACTACCCCCCTCCCCAAGGAGGCCCCTCTTACGAGAGCGCATGGACGTCGCGGAAATTTCGGCTTCGCGGGTACTCGGTGAAGACAGGGTAGTTCTCGATTTTATCCAGGGGGACCTAGTTGTCTTCTGTGGGCGTTCGGTCCTTCCAGCGAATTAGGAACTCGATCCTTCGAGCTCCCCGAGGGTCGCGGACTCGGTGGCTGAGGATTTTTTCAGGGGTGATGATTGGTTCGGTTGGGGGTCGTGTCATGCTGGCTGGGCGATTTCGTGGCAGTTGGCTCGTGGATGGGATGTAAGGGCGAAGTAGGCTGACGTGGAATGACGGGCTGACGTACCAGTCAGCAGGGAGGAGGAGGTGGGCGGCGACGGATGTGATCATGTGGCTGATGCGAAATGGCCCACAATATCGGGGACGAAGTTTTGGAGTGATGGGCAGGCGAAGGTTCTGAGTGTCGAGTAAAACGAGGTCGTCGGGTTGATAAGTGACGGGTCTGCGATGGCGATCGGCGTTGCGTTTAGCGATGATGTTGGATTTTTTAATTGCTTCTGCTGCCCTGGTCCGTGCTGCTTGCAGAATCTCGGCGAACTGTTGTGTTCGTGGGTCCGGATTGTCGGGATTCGGTGTCATGGGTACTGTTGGGTCCTGTCCGTAATTCAAGTAAAACGGCGACTGTTGCGTCGTGGCTGATGGTGCGTTGTTGTATGCGAACTCGATGAGTGGCAGCTGCTGTTCCCACGTATTCGGATCGTCGCACGTGGCTCGGATCGGCTGCTCCATGGTCTGATTTGTCCGTTCCGTCTGTCCGTCGGTTTCGGGGTGATAGGATGAACTGAACTGTAAGCGCGTGCCGAACTGCTGCCACAGGTTCCGCCAGAAGTTGCTTGTAAATTTCGTGTCTCGGTCGCTGATGATCGATGCGGGTATCCCGTGCAGTCGAACGACGGTGGTGATGAAGAGTCGGGCGGTTTCCTCGGCTGTGATTGATTTCCTGCATGCTGCGAAATGAGCCATCTTCGTTAGTCGATCGACGACGACCAGGATCGCGTCATTCCCACTCGCCCCAGCTGGTAACCCCGTGACGAAATCCATCGTCACTTGCTGCCAAGCACGCTCTGGGGGCGGGACGGGTTGTAATTGTCCCGCCGGCCGCTTCCTGCTTGACTTCATGAGCTGGCAAGTGGGGCATGATGCCACGTGTCGTTGCACATCGGTCAACATTTCTGGCCAGTAGTAGTACCGCTGCAGCTGCTGCCGTGTTTTTTCTACCCCGAAATGTCCCGAGGTAACTCCGTCGTGTGCTTCCTGTAACAGTAGTTCCCGTAGTAGCGTGTATCCTGGTACCTAGATGCGGTCGGTTCCAGTTTTTACGTAGTAGACTCCTTTTGCCGTTGCGAATTGCTGTGAGTTGCCTCCTGTAAAGAACGGGTCTGTTTGATATCCGTGGGTAAATAGGCCTGTCAGTAGCGGGCTGGTCTGGGCGAGTAGTATTGCGTGGATCTGGGCAGTGGGGCGAGTCAGTGCGTCGGCGATATTCGAGGCTCCCTTTTTGTATGTGACCGTATAGTGAAAATTCGACTCGAGGAAATCGAGCCATCGAATTTGTCGTGGGTTGAGGTGGGGCTGTGCGCGGAGGTACTGTAGAGATCGATGGTCTGTCCGTACTGTCACGTCTGCGCCGGTCAAGTAGCAGCGCCACACTTTGAATGCGTGCACGATCGCGAGCATTTCGCGGTCGTGTATCGGGTAATTTCGCTCAGGCGGATGTAATTTTCGTGATTCGTAGGCGATGGGTTGGAGGCCGTCGCCGAAGTCCTGTAACAGTACAGCTCCGATGGCGATGTCACTTGCGTCGGTAACCACTTCGAAAGGGCGGTGGGGATCAGCGATGCGTAGAACGGGTGGGGAACAGAGAACGTTTTTCAGGGCAGAGAAGGCAGCATGCTCTTTCTCCCCCCACGTAAAAGCGACCCCCTTACGCAGTAAATCAGTGAGTGGGGCTGTTAAACGTGCCATGTCGGGCACGAACCGTCTAACGTAATTAACAAACCCTAAAAAACTCTGCAGTTCTGTGATGTTTGTCGGGGGACGCCACGCTTTTACCGTATCCAGCTTCTTTGGGTCAATCTCAACCCCAGCTTCCGAAATAATGTGACCTAAAAACTCTAGTCTATCCTTAAAAAACTCGCACTTGGAGCCTTTGGTGAGTAGCCGATGTTCCTCTAAAACCTTAAAAACTGCTTCAAGATCTGCTAAGTGTTGCTGCTTATCCCCACTGTAAACGAGGATATCGTCAAGGTAAACTATCACGCATTTATCTAAAAGTGGCCTAAACGCCTCGTTCATGGTCATCTGAAAAGTCGCAGGCGCGTTTGTCAGCCCGAATGGCATTACTGTATACTCGAATGACCCGTACCTAGTCCTAAATGCTGTTTTGGCGCAGTCCGATGGTTTGACCCGAATCTGGTGGTAACCTCCCCGTAAATCTATTTTCGAAAAGACTCGTGCTGTTCGCAGTTGGTCGATTAATTCGTCGGCGCGGGGAATGGGGTATCGCGATTTGATTGTTACCCTGTTAAGCGCTCGGTAGTCGATGCACATGCGGAACCCTCCGTCTTTTTTCGGTGTGAACAGTATCGGTGCGGCGAACGGTGATGAACTCGGTCGGATAAACTGCTTCTCTAACAGGTAATCTAAGTGCTTCCTGAACTCGTCAAGCTCGGGCTGTGTGAGTCGAAATTTCCGCTGTACAGTTGGCTGTGCCCCCGGTTCTAACTCGATTTTATGGTCGTGCGCCCACTGAGGTGGCAGTCCCTGTGGTAAATCGTCCGGAAATATCTTTGGGAACCGTTTCAGTAGTGCTTGTAGTTCGGTCGGTACGGCTGCCAACAGTTTCTCTAAATCACTCGGCTGCTCCTCTTTTTCTACTAGCGCGATATCCACTGCGTACACGTCAGCTCCAGCAGCGACAGCCCGTTTCATTGTGATGGCGTTGACCTGGACCGTCGAAGATTTGGGTGGCTGCCAGCGAGGTAGAACAACCCAGTTACCACTACTTCGCACTGTGCAGCTCCCCGTCGTCCAGTCGATCCGTGGGTTGTACCGTCGCAGCCAATCACGTCCTAATAAAATGTCGTGCCCATCCAGTGTTGTCGCGAGCATTTCCTGTGTAAACCCGAAGTTCCCTCCGCAGCGGACTTTTACTCGTTCCACCTTTTCCCGTATGGCCAGGGGCGTGCCGTCGACTAAGCGTGCATCTATCTCAGGTAAGCATCGGTTAAGTGTTAACTGTAATTTCCGTGCGGTTGCAGTATTAACTAAGCTGTGGCTCGCTCCTCCGTCAATAAAGATCTTCACTGCTGCTCCCTGTATTTTCCCGTAGATCAGTACCGGGCAATCCGTCGCTGTACCCTCCTTATTCATCCGAGCCCGATCGATGGCGTGAATCGGTACTGTGACTCGGTGAGGGTCGGTGTGGTTGGGCGAGCAGGCTGTCTCGTCAGTAGTTGGCCCAACTTCTACTGACTGCTGGCATTTCCCTGCCTCCGAGATTCCCTCCCCTGCTCTGCTCCTCGGCGCCTCAGCTCCTCTGGACATTCGCTCTTGCGATGGCCCGGCCGATTGCAAGCAAAGCAGCGCCCTCTAAACGGCGCGGCAGCTGCATTCGCTGCGACGGCATGTACAGTGGCGTGCTCGGTCGGTCCCCGAGGACGATGTCCGTAATAGGACCCCGGTCTCGGTCGGCGTAGGATATCGATTTTCTCGGCGAGCGCGAGGATCTCGTTGAAATTCGAGAGCCCGCGTAGCATTATCTCGTGCAAAATGTCCGGCTTCAGCCCTCCGACGTAACGGTCCACCCGCTCCGCCTCGTACATGTAGCCGACCTGTTCGCAAAGTGCGAGAAAACCGCTGGTGTAGTCTTGAACGGACCCGAGCTGGCGCCAAGTGCGCAGTTTCTGACGCGCCGAAATCGAGGCCGCGATCGGCTCAAAACGCGCCCGAAGCCCTGCGCACCACGCATCCCACGTGCTGTATTGGGCGGTTTCGCAGAACGAACTCCAGGTAACAGCTGGACCCGAGGGCCCTTCCTCGTGCGACGGTGGCTCGTAGGCGCGCGGCGACGTTACAATGACTCGCCACCAGTCCATGGCGGGGCCCCTGAGTAATGAAACCGCATACCGGATCTTGGCGGCGTCCGACTCGACGTAGTTGGCGTCGAAAAACACATTCATCGTGA